AAGGCGACCAACTGAAGACTAAAGTGAAGAAGATTTGTGAAGGGTGCGTTACCTTCACGCTTTTCTTTCTTTGATCTTTTCGTTCATGCTGTTTCTCATTCTCCTTGTAACTGACGCGAGGGCGCAATTCAACTTTTTCGTTATAGTTTCCGTGCAACGCTGTACCCATGCCCGGATACCCCTCAGGAGCGACGTGAAATGTCTATCGGTGTTATGACCAGAATTGAAGATCTCAAAACGGTACTGGGCCAGACGCAGGACCACCGTCACAGAGTACTGGTGAGTTTTCCTTTATACAAGCGGTAAAGGCGCACTGGTAAAGAAATCAGATGGATTGTTGACAGGTGGCCGCATCGAAAAACGTTCGTATGTGGCTGACGAAGGTGCGGAAGATCAAGTCGATTTACCATACTTTGAACTTGTTCAACATAGATGTAACCCATGTGAGTGACTAGTTGTGACTCTATCTCCTTTTCATTTCTTTTTTATGAATTTCCATGGAAAAAGTACCCTATTTTCTGGGGTGCAAAGTGCATCCATTTGAAATGTCCCAGAAAAGTGCGCAACAAGCGCGCAAAAAGTTTCTAGGACCATTAGCATCTCTTTCCGGCTCAACCCTCCTCACCGATTTCTAAACACTTTCTGTGTACATTTTCATCCGGTATTTTCTTACAAACCAACTAACGCTGTGAAACAAAGCACTGACAACGCCCTATAATCTAAGGACATGAAACTATATATCGGCAAAACTGTCAATAATATTGCAACATGGGAACAGGGTGCTCGTCAAGATTTTTGAATTTAACTCATAGCTTCCCGAAACTGCGATTTGTGCTTCGTAGCAGTTGTAATAATAAAACAACCGTTCGTAATATCGATACTTTCGATAGAATGCATTTTTGGACCGGGTTCAGACTTCGCGATCGTCAATCCAGTCGAGCGATCGCGACGGTTTTTCTTACCATTAGATCATTCCATTCGCGGCCAAGCGTGTCCTATGCACGGGGCGCCCTATACCATAGAAAGCAGAGTTCCTATGTGAATGCCATAATTTTCTGTCCCTTTTGTTCGTCGCAGGATTTTTCATGAATTATTATTTTACAGAAATG